GGCAGGTCTCCAAAGACACTTCTCGGTCCCCACTTCCTGTCACCTAGAGTTAGGGTCAACTCTTGAGTTCAAGCTTGCTTGAACCCCAGAGGAGATTTACGATAAGGTTACAAGGGGGGTCCCAGGAAAGGGTCAGGATGTTGAGGCTGTGCAATGTGACGCCTCCATGCCCAACCACCCCACCCCACCCCCACCTCCCAGCAACCCCGAGTGGAGCAGCCTGCAGGGCTTGCGCGTGCCCTCTGCGTTCCAGGTGGGTCTGTGGGAAGGATGCTGGCGTGCCAGCCAGTCCCTGTGGATCAGGGAGCCAGCTTCCAAAGTAGAAGCTGTAAGGAGGCGGCAGATGCCTCCTAGACCACTCACCCCCCCCCCAAAAGACCCTTCAAGGGCAGCTCTCCCGTTATTGGGGTTTTTCTCCTATGGTAGGGACCTTGTTGATGCAGTGGTTACTTATTGGGTTGCAATCCCTTTGGTCGGCGGTTCGAAACCAACAGCAGCTCCTGGGGAGAAGGACTGGCCTTTCTCCTCCCATACGCAGTTACGGTCTCAGATACCGGCAAGGGTCCCTATGAGTCAGCATTGACTCGATGGCAGTGAGTGCGTTCTATGGGAGCAGGAAGGGCATTTGTGAACTATCATGGTCCGAATCCTCGTGGCATAGTGGTTATGAGTTAGGCTGCTAACCGCAAGATCAGCAGTTTGAACCCACCAGCCCCTCCTCAGAGAAAAGACAAGGCTTTTAGGCTATCCACTCCCATAAAGACTCCATCTCAGAAACCCACAAAGGTGGTTATGGGTGGGGATGAGTCTGGTTGGTTTGGATGATCACAGGAGGTCCCAGGTGGTACAACCAGCTCACATGCTTGCTTGGAGATATGAGTGCACCCAAGGGCACCGCATAGGAAAGCGGCGGCAATCATCCCCCCCCCAACACACACACACACATCAGGTAGTGAAAGCCCCATGGCACACAGTGCTCCTCCGACCCGTGCGGGTCCCGTGAATCAGAAGAGACTGGCTGAACAGTCGGTGCCCACAGCCAGGGACTTGTTGGCAGCTCACCTGGGGAGTGTTGGAAGTCCTTCAGATCCGTATT